ACTGTCAAATCATATGTAAATATTGCTTTTTTTTCTTTACGAATATGGGCTCAAGCACAAAATATGCCATAATTTAAAGCTCAATAGCATTTGAGGAGAATGACTCACAGGCATAAAACCAACTGTAAAGTGTTCATGTAGGTGTCAATTATAATGCACACCTTTTAGATTTTTTATATTTATACCTTTTGAGCCCTCTTGAACTGGCTGTCTGTCATTGGAAGGCACATGAAACCACCTCCTGCATTGATGGCATTCGATCTGAAAAAAAGAAAGACAGATAATAATCTAATCTAATTGCTTAGTAATCAGTTATTGATTTCAACTCAGTTCAATTCATATTGCTTTATTGGCATGACATACTAGGCTATACTGGATTTACACCATGCATCTCCTGTCAGCGGGAAAGCCGCGCCCCCAGCTATCACAAGACCCGAGCAAGTCCATGCTACCCTCTTATTAGCATGTTGTGCAGAGGAGAAATAAATGCAGAACTACATTCAGAAATAAATGAGTGATCAAAGGAAAATAAATAGGATGAGTTTAGCATTTCCTTTTGCCCACCAATTTATTTTATTTATTTGCCTACTTTAATCACATGTTTACTTATTTCTATATGTATTTAAACAATAATTTGTGTATTTATACACACATTTATTTATTTATTTGTGTATTTATTTATTTATTTATTTATTGTTTTTGCAGGTTTCGTCCTCCATAAAATTCATCTTAATCCCCCCGGTCTTATTGTTGTCTTCTTTTTTTCTTTAACAGTTGCAGAATCTGAACTGGCCTTGGGAATCTGTATGATGAATGAATAAGGTAATCTCTCTACCTCAAATTTGGTGGGGTTTTGTTTTGTTTATAGCTGGTTTACAACTGATGAGGAGGTTCACAGCCCAATATAGATGGGTGCTATTGTGTTTAAGAAACTGAGATGAAGTTTTATATGTAATTATATCTGGGGGTTTTTTTATTTACTGTAGGTTTTACATCATAACCAATACTGTGGTATTTGTTATAAGCCCATAATAACCACAGGTCAAACCATGAATGGACCCCAATTACAATGGTTAAATCAATGTAACCGTAGTTTCTACAAACTAGGTCATTTGTTAATAAAAATAGCAGCATATACAAATACAGGTTTTATAATTACATTGCCATAATTGTAGGCCTAATAAAATGGTTGCATTAATTGTTTGCATGAATTAGCATTATCACTAGAATACCATAGTTACTGTAGTTAGTGTTACTATATAAAGCTATGGCAAGTTTTTATTAGAGATTATGAAATTTCGCAATTAATTTTGCAATTTCCTGAGAAGACAGTCATGGAAGTGCAGGGTAGATAAGCAAGGAACTTGGTTAGTTAGCACAGTGAATAAATAAAGTTATTTTCTTGGGGACTTACCTATAAAGTATTGGCTTTTGAAAAAGTGGGATTTTTTCCACCAAACCAGGGTTAAGCTCAAACCACGCCCTGCAGGGAACTGTAAAGGTTTCATTGGTCAGGGCAATCATAGAACCTATTTATAACGCTTAAACAAAGACTGAGTTGAGCAATTAAATCAGTGGTTTGGGGAGAAAAATATGCAAAAATAAATTATGTGGCTTCAAAGAAATTATAAAATATAAAAAATAATAATAATAATGATACAGCAAAAATGTAGCATACAAAAATACCTAAGCATAGTTTTGGCCACTAAATATTGTAATTAAAATTACAAAATTCAAAGCTGGCATGAAATTACAATTAACCCTTTATTTTCAAATTATTCATCTATTCAAGATGAAAAAAAAATATTGTTGTGTAATTGGACTTTTGGCCAGGGTAATTATAGCTAACTAAAACCATTAAAAAAAAAAACATTTTTGTTACTTTAAATAAAATAAACGTTAACTGACACCAAATAAAATATAATTATAAAATATGAATTAAAATATTTTCAGCTAGTTGCTGAAATAAAAAGTAATACAAAGTATATAGACAGGGAAAAAATAATAAAAATTACAAATACACAAAAATTACTAAAGCTTTAACTAAAAATGAAATAAAAATTAATAAAAACTGCAGTAGTATCGCAGTGATACTAAAATGGCATTACTTTGTAGTCAAAACCTTACAGTTTTATATTAACATTGTACTAGTATCTGTGTGGCATCTTCTTTTTTTTTCCCCTTAATTTTTCTAAATAGATGCAAATGTTTCGACAGGCTGTTCTGGAGATTTCAGCCTTTTGATTTTAATCTTAACATTGTTAACCCTTAACTGATTTATTTTAGTTCAGACAGCTTCCCAAATGTGGATGCCCAAATCTGCCATTCAGCAGAATGGGTTATATTAGTCAAATAAATGCTGATCCAAACAAAGCCCGCTTCCTTAAATCTGACTCATGTGAGAGTTCCTAAAAAAAAATAAGGCACCTAAATGTGACATATCTGGTCATTCAAATGAGCACCCCAGCTTGTTACACTATACTGTACTGTATGAGCCTTTCATGCACTGATGCTTGCAGAAAACAGCACAGCAACACATTAGACAAAAACTATCAAACCCAGATCAACTGCTAACTTCCTGTATTTGTAAGAGGAAGGCAACATCAGACCCTCTGAATCACCCGCAGAGCGAGACCTTGCTCTCGCACGGTAATGTCAGTAGTTCTTTGTGTGCAGCAGTGCTGCCCTTCCCCCCCTCCATCTCCCACCCAGACCCACAGTACAATGTGTGCTCGTTGTAGGCAAGCCTGTAACTGGACGCCAGGTGGTCTGTGATTGGCTGAGCCAAGGTCCCCTCTCCCCCGTCTTCATTTTCTGGTGCATATGCATGAGATAGCAGGCTGGTGTGTTCCTGTGCAGCTGCCTGTTCCAGACAGGAAAAGAGAGGGAGAGAAACAGGAGCGAGACATTGGGGAAGGTTAGTGGAAGAGGAATAGAGAAAGGAAATCGGGTGAGGAGACGGCGGGCGACTGTGATTAGGGGGGTTGTAATCATGTCTATGTTCTGTTTGTCTGGCTGGCTATGAGATCAGGCAGCCATGGCCATGTCGCTGAGTGCCGACGATGAGGATTACGACTCGGATACAGCCGAACAGGTCAGTACACACTCTCTCTCTCCTCATACACACCACACAAACAATTAGCCTCCTTCTCTGGTTCCCTTCCTCGTAGCACCATGGCTCTCAAACAAGGCATGTGTTTTCTCCACCTCCTTCTGCTTTCTTCACCCTCCTCACCATCTCTCTTTCTGAAACAGTTTCTGGGTTTGTTTTATTGCAATAGTATAAGAACGAGAGGTTTCCATGCGACAGGAAGGGGAAAAAACTCATACAACAGAGAAGAGTGGCTCTGTCTTATTGTTCGTCTCCACTGAGCTTCAGCTATCAGATGTGATTGGTTTGAGTCATGTGTGCCTCTTTTAGGAAGGCTTGTTCAAGGGAACAAAGCATGTTCCCGTTGCTTTACCATTGTGTTTTGGTGTGGTTTATATTGGTTTGACTCCTTTGTATTGTTGGGAGAACTTAAATGTAGTAGTTAGTAAGTAGTAAAATGTAGTAGTTAGACTTTTTTGGCTGTGATGTACTCTGACTTTCACACATGTGGAGGGGTTGTTAGGGAATAAATACTGTATTAAAAGAGGACTTAAGTTCCTCAAAGCAACAGCATGACTGGACATGTGTTGCCCTTAAGTTCCCTTCCCAAGATGCACTGCTGTTTTCTAGGAAATAGAACAACATGCTCGGTTTGTTGTTTTTAAGTGAGGACAAAATCTAGACTGCACTGTAAAAATGATTTTTTTAAGTTGTATTATCGGAGTATGTTTTACAATAAATTGCTTTTCCAGTTTTTCTCCTTCAAACATTCAAGTTTAATTTAATGTGTTGCTTGACATTTATGTGTAAATGATTGTGAAATTTACAAGCAATTTGTGACTGAAAATTGTTTGTACACCAACTTTTTTTTTTTTTGCATCCATTTGAACTGAAAGGTTAAAAAATAACTAAGAACAGTTGTAGGTTAGGTATTTTCTAAGAGAGCATAACATACAGACTTTTGCAACAGGCACCTGTGCATTTGCTAACAAATTCTTGAATTTACTAAGAAACATATTAGTTGCGGTGCAGTACATGTTGGTGTGAGGTTGCATGTGGATGTCACTGAACCAAGTAAGCCACATGTGCTCACTGCTCACCAACAACAAATAATGCGTGCATTTCAAATCTCGTAATCCTTGTCGTGATGTATAACAGGGTCCCATATCTTTAAAAAACAGTTTCTATGTTGAAGACTGGGGGGGAGGGGTGAAGCAAATTGTGGGGGGAACAAAAGGAGGGCCCGGCTGCTCTCAGGCCCCCTGTTTGAGTTCATCTTAGGTAGTCTATAAGTCATAAGGTATATTTGGTAAGACTCTTTAGACATATGTTTGGTCTAAATATATGGTCACATTAGCAGAATTTCGGCAAAATTGTGCGCGACCAGCTTGAACTCATTGCAAAAACCACATAGGGAAGATATTCCCCTCACACAAAATTCCTTATTGAATTCAGATGAATTCCTATTGAA